CCCCAAAACCCCAAAACCCCAAAACCCCATTGATCAATTATAGAGTATAGAATGGGAGATAAGAAAATGAGAATATTTCTTTAACGATTTTTGCAAATTAAGAGTACTTTCGACTTTGATAATTGATAATAATTAAATGTTTTGATATAGATGAATACGAATGTCCCTCTCATCATACTAAGCAATGATTAGACCATAATGATTTAGCTCATTGAGAATCTGATGAGAAGTTTGATACTATTTCAAGTTTCTTAAATAAAGATCTAAAATCTTAGTTGATTATTTGGCTGATGTCATCCAGACCACACCCTAATAATTCTTAGTCTTAATCCAGCTCATACTTCTCGTGCTCTCCCTCATCTCTGCATAAATCTCTGATATTCTTATTAGTCCCTTTAGGGATGTCAAAGAACTCATTGTTAAATTCAAATTTTTGCAGTTTGAGCCTTTTCTGTATGTTTTCCCCTTTAGTCAGTTATACCTCGTATAATGATTCATCGCAGAGTTCATCATTATAGTCAAAGCCAATCTTCATTAAATTCAAGTTGGTTTCTCTGATGATTGCCTAGCATAATTAGACGAAGTCAGTATTCTCAATGAGGTAACTTTTGCTATGAATGTTCTGATGCTCGTTCGAGTTTGAGTATGCACTCATGTTTTTATGAGGAAATTAGAGATCGCTGGAGGTAAGATCTAATTTAGGAGAATCTATTTCAGTCTTTAGTAATTAAGGAAGCTCTGTCCTTGTAATGCTCTCCTTAGATAGGGTATCTTAAGTGTCTAAAGACATTTTAGGGAAGGAGGTTTGAGATTGAAGTGTCTTGAGTCTCAGTTGTTCGTTGAATTTCTTGTCGTTATCTGGCAGTTCTTCAATGATAGACTTTGACATGCTACTGTCTAAGACAGAAGCTATAAGTATACTACTGTTTATGTTATTATTTTTCTTGCTAGTTTCTCCCATGATCTTTCTCTATCCTTGATGATCCTGAATTAAAGCGAATTTCTTAAGTTCTTCAAGAGCCACCGGGTCTCTTGAGTCAATCAGCCTCTGGAAGTAGCCCTATAGCTTTTTTTGGCGTTTAAGTGTATTGCTTTCAGAGTTAGTGCAAGGTAGGGTGATTCTTGAAGGAAAAGATGGAAGACACTTTAGAGTGCCCTATGTAAGCACCTTCTTCAAGTGGTTATGGAAGTCGTGGAGGACACTGTACCTTTCATTTATCTGAATTCCTTCGCTCTGATCGCTGGTGAATAGTTGCATGTGATAGAATACGACTCCACCGATTAGAGAGTGACTTTCGATCCTTACTGAAAGTTATGCTGAGTGAATGTTTAAGATATCCATTGAGTAAGTGCACAATTTTTAAATATTTTAGTTTCTTTATTAGTAATTATATGGTAGAAAAGCATTAAGCCTTTAATATTTCATTCAATCATGTTTATACTATTTAATTAAGAAATTATTTATTGACTCATAAACAATATACAAACCATCTCAAAAAAGAAAGATTAGCAGCTAACCTATTCTATCATTGAATGTCTTCAGTATCTGGGGTTTCTGATCATTTTATGTTTTCTTTCTCCCCATCTCTTCCATTTGATTAGTAGCCAGGGGGCTATCTTGAATAGAATATATGAAAGTCCTTTCGAAGTCACAAATAAGCTTAGAATCGCAAATATATAGGTGTATGTAGCAACTTCAATTACAGCATGGAAAATCAAAAACTTGCTAATTTCATTCACAATGTCCAAAACAGTAATCTAGTAGAGTAGTACCAGGGCATAGACAAAAAGGCAGGCATTAAATGATATTGTTATCTTGCCAATGCTTGAATACAAAGCATCTCTGCGTCTCCTAATATAAAATATTAGTGAAAAAATCAATCTTATTTACCAATAATGCCCTATCATAAAGTGATGTTCATCAATCTCAAGTCCCTCATCCATAATCTAGAATTAATGTTAGCTATCGATTAATCTACCTTCTCTGACTCTAGTTAGCGCTTTTTCAGATACATAAGAGTTAGAAGTACTATATTAAATACTTAAAGCTGCCCATATAACTTAATGTAGCCAGTAATCTCAGCTGGAACAATCAATCTCTGTATGTTTAAGTTTTAGTCCTAGATGTTCGGATTTATTCTATTCTAGTATTCCTGATAAACAAAACAGATCAAGGACATCACTGATAAAAACAAGGGGAGTAGCCTAGAGTTAAGATAAAGATGAAGAGATAGCGGTCTTACCAGACATGAGATGGCCTCTTAGGGTAAGGGATATTCCAAAGCCACCTTGAATCAAGAAGCCACAGCCAGAGAAGCATTTCCATTTTAAAATTAGGGACAAATGAGTAAATATTAATCGATTATAGTAATTTGTAATTAATTGAAACCTATCATCCTCACTATTTCGCCTATTAAATTTGCATTCGGGGTTTTGGGGTTTTGGGGTTTTGGGG